TGTCGGGATTGTTGGTGGGAGGTCGAAGGAAGGGGCGTGATTGGTGAGTTAGAGCGAGTATTCGGTGATTTAGGAGGAGAGAGACGAGAGAGGACGAGAGAAGGTGTGTGGCAGCGAAAGGAGAGCGCAGAGTTAGGGTGTTGTGAGTTGGAAGAGGGAAGCATGAGAGAACGGGAGATACATCGACCAGCTTCTGATAGGGATGTTGTCACGAGGAAGAGGGAGAGGAGAATGCAGGTTAGAGATTGTGGAGAACAGAGGGAGTGTTGTAGGGCGGGATGCAGAGAGAGTAGAGAGAGAGAGGAGAGAGAGAGAGAGGAGAGAGAGAGAGAGAGAGAGAGAGAGAGGGAGAGAGAGAGAATAGAAAGGAGGAAGGAGAAGAGAATGGAGAGAGGAGAGAGAGAGAGAGAGAGAGGAGAGAGAGTAGAGAGGGAGAGGAGAGGAAGAGGGGGGGGGGTAGGAGATAGAGGGGGAGAGTGGGAGATAGAGGGAAGAGGGGAGGGTGGGAGGGATTAAGGGAAGGAGGTAGAGAGACAGAGAGAGAGAGGAGAAAGACAGACAGAACGACAGAGAATAAAACGTTTAGAGAAGGAAGAAGGAGGGAGGGAAGGAGGGGGGGGGCAGTAAATCCCACCCTGGATAATGGGTAACAAGCAGTATGTCTTTATTTGAAACCCAGTGAAGTGACTACATAAAATCATGTGAAGCTTATAAATTGTGCAAATGATACGCATTAAATAATTGTACGAAATACAAATCACACGCTTTGGGAGAGGTGGTTGCGTTATCTTTCAGTGTGAAGAGCATGATGAATTGCACGCTCTTCCTCCCTTTTATTACTCTTTCTCTCTCCCTCTCTTTCGCCTAAGTTCGTATCTCCCGCCTCTAGCTTTTTTGTCAGCCTTACTGATTTTTTTTTTTTTTTTCAATATTGACTTCCTTTGTCTCTAACTTTTTTTTTCTTCCTCACTCTCTCTTCCCTCCTTCCCTCCCTTTCCCCTACTTTTCCTCCTCCCCCACCTTCCCTTCTTCCTCACTTTCCTCCTTCCCTCTCTCTCCCACTTTCCCTCCTTTCCCTCTCTCCTCTCCCCCACTTTCCCTCTCTCCCCCACTTTCCCTCCTTCCCTTCTCTCTCCCCACTTTCCCTCCTCTCTCTCCATTTTCCTTCCCTCTCTCTCTCCTTCCTCTCTCCCCACTTTCCTCCTTCCTCCTCTCCTCTCCCATCCTTCCTCTCTTCCCCCTCCTTCCTCTCTCCCCTCCTTCTGTTCCTCTCCCCCTCTCCCTACCTTCCTTCCTCTCTGCCCCAACCCTCCTCCCTCTCCCTCTCCCCCTTCCCTCTCTTTCTGATAACAGGCTGTTCTGAAACACCTGCAGAGTATATCACAAAGACTGAATACATTGACTTAACATGAAAGAAAAAATATATATATTCATTCATCATTAATATTGTTTAAAAAGAAAGAAAGAAAGAAATATGTTGTGATACATATCTTTTTCATTATTTTGTGATATAAGGCTATGGTAAAGTATATACATAACAAGGATTATAAATACAAAAAGATAATATCAATCAGAAAATTATATATACGGGTATATTGCATTCCAAGAAATATAACTGTTACTTGCTGTTATTGCATTTGAGATTATTACAATTAGTTTTATCATGATTGAATTTATATGAAATCTATGTATCGTCTTTAATAAAATAATAAAAATAACGTTCATACTAATAATAATAGTAATAATAATAATGATAATAATATCGATAATAGCAATATCAATAACAACACAAACAAAAATGATCATGATAACAGCAGCAACAAACTAATAATAATGATAATAATAATAATAATAATAATAATAATAATAATAATAATAATAAAAATAATAATAATAATAATAATAATAATAATAATATAATAATAAATAATAATGCTTTACTACTACACAGATACTAATAATGATGGCAACAATACCAACAATAATGAGAATAATGTTGATAACGGAAACAACAATAACAATAATACACAACTGTAATAACACTATTAAAAGCGAAAATAACAGTATATATATAAATAGTAGTATTAACAATACAATAATAATAGCAACAGTAATGATATCACAACAACAACAACAATAATATAACACAGTAATGATAATCACAACAACAATAATAATAACAACAGTAATGATAATGACAATAGTAATAATATCAGCATTATCGCACAATCAGAATATTACACAGCAATACCATTACTTCGAACCACATAATAGGCATCATTTGTGTACTATATAATTCCTTTACTAAAACCACGGTGTTCCAGCGCACGACGAACAACCGGGCTTATGACTTGCTGTTCCCTGGACCATGTATAGTTTGCCAGAAGTGTGCAAATAAGATCAAATATATATTTTTGTTCTTTCTTTTTTGAAGGGCAAGAATCGTTTGAATGTATGTGAAGGTATGAATAAAATTGATAAGTGATATCAGGTGATGATAAAAGAATCTAGAAGGTTATTCGCATATAATATATATATCGATGGAGTGAATATTTGTCGTCGACTAAAACAAATAACAAATAAAATATAATAACAAATTGTGAAAACACACACACACACACACACACACACACACACACAAACACAGACACACACACACACACACACACAACACACACACACACACACACACACACACACACACACACACACACCACACACACACACACACACACACACACGCACACACACACACACACATCTCCATACCAAAAAGCAACACCCACTCACAACCCCCCCCACACGCCCCTAAAAGTACCTCTTGCTTGCATCACGCCCGCGATTAACCCATTGCACACGCAGTTCCACCAAGCACACACCTGAGATATCCTCCTGTGTTCAGGGGATTTTCCGAAAATGTTCAAGACTGTATACCCGTTTGTTCAGGGAGAGGGAAAAACACCCTGGGATTACCAACTACTTGTTTTTCGGTGGATAATATCTATAAATACATGTTGCGTAATATATATCTTGTACGCAGTTCTGTGTGTGTCTATCTCTCTATTTATCTATTTCTCTGTGTAGATCTACGAAGAAAGAAAGGAGACAGAGAGAGAGAAAGAAAGGGAGGAGGGCAGGGAGGGAGGGAAGGATGGAAGGAAGAAAGGAAAAAATAGATAGATAGATAGACTGACTGATTGATATAGAAAGAAAGAGAGGAGGGCTGGAACTAATAATCGGAATATTAATTCAATCTTCGCCTTTCAGAATCATCATTAAGTGCAAACGAATCCTAATGTTGTCGGTGACATTATA